TCAAACTGGGCTCTTACTGGCCAGTTTCAGTAGTAATCACAGATTGTAATCACAGATGCATTCCGCATGGAATCCTGGGCAACCTTATATTTTGGGCCCTCAACAATGAGCCCAATACTTGGTAGTTAGTCACTGAAAATACAAACGGTAGGAACAAAAAGGTTTGTTTGTTTTCTTCTTGATGTATTAAAATCAATTAAAGTCTGGCCAGCAAGCAAGTCAACGTCAATATCACACTAAAGCTTGTGCTCCACCTGGGTCTCGGTGACACAGACAGCAGGATCGGGAGCGTGCCCACTGGGACAGTCTGTAAACACCTGAACGGCCAGACAAAGGTAGGAAAAACACTCAGAGTGGCTAGTGCTTTACAGAAATCAGGAAATTGAACTTAAAGTGGCCTCAAGAATATGAACTAATGGTTTTCTACATACTGGGTGAAGTTCCAAAGGTTCCAAAAGATAGAGTATTTAGGGCTAAGAAAGAATTAAACAGATAAAAATGCATAGGCATGCCTGTGTACACACAATTGGCAATCACAAAAACCTGCATGCCAAGGGGAATACAAGGAGAATGTGATCAGAAGTGATGCCAAAACTCCAACACGGCCTGACTGGGGCATGCTCAAGACGGCGGGTAGACGAGGACCAGAAAGTTCTCCCTCTGTTAGAAGCAATGCGGGGTCATGGCAACTACACAAGAGCCAAAGTTATAACAAATGAACGTGAATTGTGGCAAAAATGGTATTGAGGTACCATAATAATACCAATTGTGGTATTATTTTGTTTATAAAGAAAGAACTGTTTATATTTAAGTGCTTTTGAGAAAAGCTGTTCATTCCCTTCTTTGAGATCTTTAAAGATGAAGTCCCAGAGTCTCTTCCAGCTCTGTAATACCATAATTTAATCCTCTGTTCTAAACAAAGGAACACTTAATTCAGCATAGGACATTATCACCAGAAAAATATTATATTTAATTGGTAGTTTATGAATGCGACCTTAGTTAAGAACACTGTTTCCACCACTTATTAACTGAGCGACCCTAAGCAAGTTACCCAACCTCTCTAACCCTATTTCTTTATCTGTAGGATGCCTTTTTCCGGGCGTGATCATGATGATGAAGTGGAATAATGCTTGTAAGCTGTGCACCACAATGTCTAGCCCACAGCAAGCACTCAAAAGATGATGCTATTATAACTGAGGATTAAATGAAAATTAAATTTAAACGAGCCCTTAGAACAGTGCCTGGCTCAGAGTAAGCACTCAATTTTAACTAAAAGGTATGAATTACACATGAAATTTTAAAGCAATACAGATTCTTTATCTTCATGCAGGGGGTACCATAGTATTTTAGGAAAAATTTTACCACCAATTATCTGTGTTTGGGTAAGTCACTAAAACCTCTGCATTTCTGTTTCTTCTCTGCAAAATGCAAGTGGAAGTGGATTAGATGACCACTAATGTCTCTTCCAATTGGAAGGAGATTCTAGAGAATACCAGAGCTTAGTATACACTATAAATTTATAATAATCACTCTATAAAACTCTAGTTATAAACCAAGAAATAACCAGTTACTAATAGTATACACTAATTAAAAACTTAAAATTCACAATAGACGTACAGCATAAGATATCATAAACATAAAAGTTCTTTAATCATTTAAGGACTAATTAAATAATAAATAACTGCTAGATACAGAATTAAAGACAAACAGATATTTTCATTTGAATTTTTTGTATAATTTCCCCTTCATATTGAGAGCAAGAAATTATTCTGAGCTTCTTATTCCACACGAATCTCAGATACTGAGTCTGAATCATCCCACATTGCACATTTGAGGACTCCAAATTCATACTACTTCACCGTGATCAGGGGTCAGCAAGCTTTCTCCATGAAGGGCCCCAGAGTAGACACATTTTAGGCTCCCTTAGCCCTGCCCCTGCAGCCCAAGAACAGCCGATGTGTCAGTGAATGGCTGTAGCTGCATTCCAATAAAACATTATTTACAGATGCTGAAATTTGAATTTCACACCATTTTCAAGTGCCATAAAATTTTATCATTCTTTTTCATTTTTTTCAACCATTTAAAACATGTAAAAATCATTCTTAGCTCGTGGACTCGACAGAAACAGGCAGCCTGCAGGACTAGCCCAGGGGCCAGAGTTGGCCCCTGGGCCAACGCTGCAGCATATTTTGGGAAAGAACGTGGTCATGTAGGAAATCGGGCATTGGCAGAATCGCCCTCTGGGATTGTCGCTGGTTGGTTGGTTGGCGTTTGTTTCGCTGCACTGTTTCATCCGCCACTCTCCTAACAGCTTTTACCACAAACCAGGGACCCTTCTCAGTCCCAGCGGCAAGGGCACTAGGTTTAAGCACAGCTAAGGCAAGCCTGACACCTTGAGGTCATACTGCCAAGTGGCAGGCGCCACCCTGGAAGTTACCAGCAAGGCACATCTCCTGGTAAGGGTGAATCCTGGAGAGTGGAGGGAGCGGGCAGCCCTGCAGGCTCAACCCAGCAGTGAGCCAGCCGCAGCTGTTGTTGTATTGTTGTTGTTGAAATGGAGCAGAATCAAGTTCCGAGTTCACTCTCTGATTTCTCTCTGCAAAGGAACTTCCAAAGGGCTATCTTTGGTGCCATTTCATTCTATTTAAAAAAAACTTCCAGAGCCTTCCCAACTGAGACCAGAGGGCTCCAAGGACATTTAAGACTTTCCCTGGTCTGGTTAAGTCTCCCACTTGACATTAGTATACGTGCAGGAGGAGAGGAAGTGGAACTGGGCACGACCACTCCATCCCGCTGCTCTCCGACGCTTACAAAGAGGGGTGGAAAAGGGGCTTTAAGAGGCAAAGACCAGTGATCAAAATGCTGCAACAGACCAGAAACAAAATGGCATTACTCATTGCCTGCCCAGGTCAGACTCTCCCAGGCTATTATACCATTGTGCTGGGATGAAACATTTTGCTCATTTTTGGTAAAGGATTGAAGAGGCCATTCTTTCCATTCCCCTGCCCCCAGAAGTATTTCCCTGAAACATCCAAGACTTGAGTGAGTCCTGTCTTGTAAATTGTCCAGGCAAGACAATTCTGCAGCATGCCAGGTTGGGAAGTTCATCCTTTCTTTTGTCTAATTCAAAGCCATCCTTCCGTGTTTCTGAGAAAGCAGAGAGAGGGGACACTTGGAGGGAATTTGGCAGGGCTTCCTCCAGGTTCTGTAGTCGCAAAAGTACTTTTGCTTGTGTAAGTGCCTCCCCTTTGGAGATAACAAGCCCTGAGAGTCTCACGTGCATGCTGAACCTCTGAAAGGAGCTGCTGAAAGGAGTTTGATTGGCTAAAAAGAGGCAGGGATGACCTCAACTGTCAGCACCCCCAACCTAGGCAGAGAACGGGGCAGCTGGGGGCAGGTGAGGACTTAAAGGTCCTCATCCCAATGAATCTCCCACACTGACAACTCGCAGCAAGGGCAGAGAGGGGCAACTCCAGAGCCCCTACTTACATACAGAAGAGGACCTGAATCCAATCCAGACCTGTGCATTAAGTCTGAGTGCCACCAAGTGCCGCGTTCTGTGGTCTTGAGAGAGGACTATAGACCATGCCATTCCTCTCTCTCTGGTTTCAGTCCCCTCTCATCCCAGGGGGAGGTGGCAGTATGGGACAGAATGAATCAACTCTCATACACGTTTGTACCCACAGCTGTGGGCAGTGCAGTGAAAGGGGGCCTGCCTGAACAGTATTCCAGTACAGTTTTCAGGGCCAGACATGCAGTTCCTGGGGATCTGCTGCTTTCCTAGGGAAACATTTACCTTACCTCTGGGGTGATTCCACTTTGCTGCCAACCTCACCCCTGGTAAATTACCACTGTGCTGGGCTGTGCCCCACCAGCCCCCCGAGGATGCAGTAACAGAGTCCTTGGTTGCGTTAACCATGTGATACTCCCCACCCCACCCCCAATCCCCAGCTTGGGGTGAAAATGCGGTTTTAGTGGGAAGCATGACAGCGTGATTTCAGTATGACCTTTCCCACCTCCCTCTTTTGCTTTACACTTAAAAGCTCTGGAACCTTCTCCAGAGACCATTCTTCTACACAGTCGGATCCCCAGAGTGACTCTGCAGGGAGCCAAACGCTGTCGCTGGGGGTCAGTGCAGGAGCCTCTTCAGAGGACGTGGCCCGGGCACACGGCCTTAGAGGAGGGAGCGACTGGGGCCTCCCCAAAGACTCTGCCTGAAGGGCCAGTACAGCATCGTAGGAGTTAACGTGGGACCGCGCGTAAAGGGAAGGGGAAAAAGTTGGAGTTGACACTTAAGGAGGGGTGGGGGTGGGGGAAGTCTCGCTGCCTCCTGATTGGTTTTACATTTCATCCAAAATTTTTTCTCTCCTCTCTCGCTCCCTTTCTTCAGTTTCTCTCTCTGATCCCAGGGGAGGGGAAACGGGAATAGTGAGAGATCAAAAATAAACCTCTTATGTCAAAGCCGGGAAGAAAGTATAAATACGAAGGGCTCGGCAGCCCACTCGGTGCTTCCCGGGGTGGGGAGGAGGCAGGAGGCGGCTGCGCGGGGACGGCGCGCGGGGCAGGGGCGGAGGACCGGCGCACGCGGCCGGGCAGCCAGTTGCTCGCGCTCGGCTCGGCGGGCGGGCGGGCGCGGGAGGAGCGCGCTGCGCCATCCGGAGGGGCTGTGTGGACCTCCGCCGCCGCCAGGCGCCCACTGGCCGAGTCGGCCGGCGAGCTGATTGATCGTCTCGCTGCTGGAGAGAGCGGCCGGGCCGCGCTCCGGCCGCCAGCACCTGCCCGCGCCGGGCCGGCTTCTTCCCTCTCCCGCGCCGCAGCCGGAGCCCCCATGCCCCGCGCCG